ACAACAGTCCTCCCTGCCTGTGAAGGGCTTGGCGTGGTAAGACACAAGCACTGACTCACTTGCATCTAGAAGGTTCTGGAAAAGCATCTTTAACACTGTGACCATGAATAGTCGCTTAAAAAAAAATAGCTATTTTGTGATGAAGGTGTATTAAAATTCCCATACACCTGCACAGACCTGCTAAACAGTAGTTTGTCTACTTGAGGACTTCAATTTCCTCCAAAGACTTCCTAAAAGCTACAAATTCAAAATCCGTTGGTTGGCCTGTAGAACAGCAGGAGGGTCAATTCTAATCTGCTTCCCCCTTCTCATGAACATGGAATGCAAATAAAGACACGGAGAAAGCCAGAGGAGAAAACAATAGATGGAGAGGACAGAGCCGTCTGATTTAAAAGCGCTGCGTGGACTTCTAAGCACGTGGCCACGACTTAGACAAAATTCTCAGATGCCAATATTATCCCGGGTCGGGTAGCACAACAGTCCTCCCTGCCTGTGAAGGGCTTGGCTTGGTAAGACACAAGTACTGACTCACTTGCATCTAGAAGGTTCTGGGAAAGCATCTTTAACACTGTGACCATGAATAGTCACTTAAAAAAAATAGCTATTTTGTGATGAAGGTGTATTAAAATTCCCATACACCTGCACAGACCTGCTAAACAGTAGTTTGTCTACTTGAGGACTTCAATTTCCTCCAAAGACTTCCTAAAAGCTACAAATTCAAAATCCGTTGGTTGGCCTGTAGAACAGCAGGAGGGTCAATTCTAATCTGCTTCCACCTTCTCATGAACACATTATCCTCTAGGTCTGATGTCTTGTTTTATGGGACACACCATTAAACTTTGGACAAAGAACTCTTTCTACGCAGTTTCTCAGTTCATGGACTTTGGTGCGACTTAAAAGTGGGGACGGGCTGCCCGGCCGGTGTGGCTCAGTGGTTGAGCATCAACCTATGAGTCAGGAGGTCACGGTTCCATTCCCGGTCAGGGCACATGCCCAGGTTGCGGGGTCGATCCCCAGTAGGGGGTGTGCAGGAGGCAGCCCATCCATGAGTCTCTCTCATCATGGATGTTTCTATCCCTCTCTCCCTTCTCTGAAATCAATAAAAACATTTTTTAAAAAGTGGGGGTGGGGCAGGGACGGTGTCGCGGGGCAAAGCACTCACATAGCGCTGGCTGATCTGCTTCCTCTCGCTGGGGTCCGCCAAGGGGCACACACACAGGTCGGACATGGAGACCCCCCCGCAGGGCGTCAGCGTGATCAGCACCAGGAGGGCCCCCAGGCAGCTGTCCAGGGGCAGCTCCAAGCAGTTGGCTTGCTTGAGTGGGAGCGAGGCGATGTCCACTTTACATCTGCAAAAGCGCAAAACGGAGAGAGGAGAGTGAGGAGAGCTAACTCATGGCCACTTGGGAGCCTCTAAAGAACCTACGTTTACTTATTACCCGAACCACATTCTACGGGGCCTGGGTTTCCTGGGCAGGGAAGGTCGAGAGGGCTCCTCTGGCTTAGAACACTCACCCCTAGCCCAACACACTCTAAAATGAAGGAGAGGAGCCCGGCCAGTGTGGCTCAGTGGTTGAGCATCGACCTTTGATACAGGAGGTCACTGTTCGATTCCCGGTCAGGGCACATGCCCTGGTTGCAGGCTCCATCCCCAGTAGGGGGTGTGCAGGAGGCAGACAGCTGATCAGTGATTTTCTCTCATCATTGATGTTTCTATCTCTTTCTCCCTCTCCTTTCCTCTCTGAAATCAATAAAAAAAATTTTTTAAAGATAAATAAAGTGTTGGAGAGGGAAGGTAAGGAATGGAATGGCAGATGGAAAAGAGGAGTCGGATCCTTGCCCAATAAGGTCCGCAGAAAGGCAATGAGGTCAAGAATTAGGGAGAGCCCTGTCTGCGTGGTTCAGTGCTTGAGCATCGACCTTTGATACAGGAGGTCATGGTTGGTTTGATTCCCACTCAGGGCACATGCCCAGGTTGCAGGCTCGATCCCCAGTGAGAGGTGTGCGGGAGGAAGCAGCCGATCAATGAGTCTCTTTTATCATTGATGTTTCTATTTCTCCCTTCCTCTCTCTCCCTGAAATCAATAAAAATATATTTCCAGTGTAGGGCGTGCAGGAGGCCGCCAATCCATGATTCTCTCTCATCATTGATGTTTCTCTCTCTCTCTCCCTCTCCCCTCCTCTCTGAAATCAATAAAAATATATTTTAAAAAAACAGAATTAGGGAAAAAGGACTTTACAAGTTTAAGTATCATGGCTCCGTGTGTCTTTTCTGCACCATGTCTTTTTCCAGCAAAGAGAATAAAGGGCTCAAAAACAATTTAGAAAAGACCAGAAGACACGTAAGTGGGAGAGGGTTAATGAAAAAAAACATTTTCTTCCGGCTGAATGCCGGCGGGCGGGCACGTTTTTATTCGCACCGACGTGTTAAGGTGCTTTCCTAACAGGTGTGTTCCACGGGGCTTCCCCGGGCGGGTCTCTTTCTGGACAAATGGAGCATGAAGGGCTGCTGATGGATGCCACTTCAGCCGCGCGGCTCGCACAGGCTGGCCCCATCTGCTATAAATTGCGTGTTTTCCGCCTCTTCACAGCCAATGTTCTGGGCTGTTGAAAACCTCAAGCACATTTAAATACGGAAGCAAACACCACGAAGGGGGGCTGAGTGCTAGGCGCGTATTTGCTTTAACACAGAACTCTGGGTTTGCCTGGACCACACCTGCTTTGTTGATGCTTAGAAGGGCTGCGGGGTGGGGGTGGGGGTGGAGGCAGGAGGGAGGGAGGGAGTGACCTGTTTGGATCAGGTTTCCTCAAACTTTAGCCTGCGGGCCGTAGTTTGAGGACCCCTGGTTCGGACAATCATTCAGAGTATGCGGCATTCAGATCTTAGAATATTTAGTCAATAACAGCTCCAGGCCTGGCCAGTGTGGCTCAGTGGTTTAGTAAAGACCCATGAATCAGGAGGTCACGGTTCAATTCCAAGTCAGGGCACATGCCGGGGTTGCAGGCTCAGTCTCCAGTAGGGGGCGTGCAGGAGGCAGCTGATCAGTGATTCTCATCATTGATGTTTCTTTCTCTCTCTCTCTCGCCCTCTCCCTCTCCCTCTCCCTCTCTCTCTGAAATCAATTAAAATATATATATTAGTCTACAGTATATGTATATGTATATGTATATGTATATGTATATGTATATGTATATTTAAAGAAGAGGTATCAGGGCAATCACCCTTGGCTTTAAAGGCCCATCACAAGAGTGCTGTAGTTTTCGAAGCCGTAAATCTCGGAGGCTAAGGAAGGGGGGTTGGGGGTGAACAGGAGGAAAACGGGGAGTGTGTCAAGCGTGGCTGTAAAAGCAGGTCGACGACACGGGTGCCATTTGTGCAGGGAAATATTCCATCCCTGATTCTCCACTGATACACCGGTGGAATGTCGGGGCCTCTTCGAAGTCACCCTGTGGGACTCAGAGGCAGCCAGGGCTAAAGCATCCTCATTCTTGAGTTGCCCAAGCGGAAGTAAGTCTAGAAGATTCCATAACGAGTTCATCTCTACAATCGCCTTAAAATGTAAAATACGTGACAAGAACACGATTATTTTGAACAATTGGTTTAAAAATGGGAGAGTCTAGAATCTATATTCTTGCCATTTTGTTTAAAAGTCGGAGCAGGTTAGACTAGCCGGTGTTGCTCAGTGGTTGAGCGTCGACCTATGAAACCAGGAGGTCACGGTTTGATTCCCGGTCAAGGCATAGGTCAAGGTCAAGGTCAAGGGCATACATCTGGGTTGCAGGTTCCATCCCTGCCCCACGGTTAGGGTGAATGCAAGAGGCAACCAACTGATGTGTCTCTTTCACATTGATTTTTTTTTTCTATTTCTCCTCCTTGCCCTCCTTTTCACTCTCTCTAAAAATCAATGGGAAAACATATCATCAGCTGAGGACTTTTATAAAATATATATTTGTACTGATTTCAGGTAAGAAGGGCGGTAAGAAGAGAGATAGAAACATCAGTAATGAGAGAGAATCATTGATCAGCTGCCTCCTGCAAGCCCCCCATTAGGGATCAAACCCACAACCTGGACATGTGCCCTTGACTGGAATCGTACCTGGGACCCTCCAGTCCGCAGGCTGACACTCTATCCACTGAGCCAAACCGACTAAGGCAGGTGAGGATTTTTATGAAAACAAACAAACAAACAAAAAAAAACAACAGAGAGGGCTCAGGAGACCGTTATGACTGACTCTCACTGTCAAAGAGACTCCTGATCCAAAAAGGTGTTTCCCAGCATTTGGGAGGTCAGATAACTGAGCCCTGAAATGACAACAACAAAGAAAAGAAAATGGAAAAAAATAAGTGAAAAATGTAAACTAAAAAACCGTAAGGACCGTGTGTGTGTTATGTACATGCTAGCACCATCTCCCCGTTCACTCTGAGGGTCAGTCTGTATTTCAGGGTACGTCTCACGCCACTCGGAGGTTCGCTGCAGCTAATGCCCTGTAACTGGCTCCTGAGAGATACTTTTGTGATCTCTTTGACTGCCAGAAGGGAAAAAGGAAAAAGATACAAAAAAAAAAAATCCTTTAAAATCCATAAAAAGAAAGGACAGAATGGCCTCTAGGACAGGCACACAAACAAGAACAGCTGAAGTCATAAATAAACACCCGGGTGACAACACACGGCGTGAAAGGGACATGGGAAACGAGCGTTTCTGTCCGAAGACACCTCGCACTCACGGGGAAAGCACTTCCTGTGACGTGGGGCAGCCCTGACAGCACAATGCACGGGGCGAGAGGGTGTTGGTCTTTGTACCGACACGGCAGGGCGGCCGTTCATCACTGAGGGCCACGTTCCCACCACTCGGAGGACAGGTCGGGACACAGAGTGATCTGCGGCTCACTGACGTAGCGGATCCCTGCCCGGGGCGAGCACAGCGTGTCTGATCCCCCCGTGGACGGGTGTTGGTGGGACACGGGCATGTCACAGCGGTGCCCAGGGTCAGGGTGATGAGAAGTGTCTGAGGTGTCGGTCACCCCGAGTAGGTGAAGGAGGGGGGGAAGGCACCAGACTAGAAATCGGACCCACAATTTCCTGAGAGTGTGGCAGGACCTACATTCTTCTGTTTTGATCAATAGTAACTGGCATTGCCCAGCCGGCGTGGCTCCGTGTCTGAGCGTCGACCTATGAACCAGGAGGTCACGGTTGGTTTGAGTCCCCAATCAGGGCACATGCCCCAGTAGGGGAGCTCGGTCCCCAGTAAGGAGAGTGCAGGAAGCAGCTGATCAATGATTCTCTCTCATCATTGATGTTTCTCTCTCTCCTCTCTTCTTCTCTGAAATCAATAAAAATATTTTAAATAAATAAATAAATAAATGGCATAGGATTGCATAAAACTAACACTGCCTTGTTCAATTCAGAACATATATAGATGTAATGTATATGACAACTAGAGGCCAGTGAACGAAATTTGTGCACGGGTAGGGTCCCTAGGCCTGGCTGGTGATCAGGGCTGATCGGGGCCTTCTGGCTGCCGGCCAGGGCCTCCCTTCCCCAGCTGCCAACTGCTGGCCAGGACCCTCCTTTGTTCCATGCCATCCCCTGGTGGTCAGGGCATGTCATAGCAAGCAATCAGTCGCCCAGTCAAACTCCCATGGGGGTAATTTGCATATTAGGCTTTTATATATATAGATAGGACAAAGGATGGGAAAGAAATGGAGCTAGATTGACATTTCTTTTTTAAAAAAATATATTTTATTGTTTTTTTACAGAGAGGAAGGGATAGGAATAGAGAGTTAGAAACATTGATGAGAGAGAAACATTGATCAGCTGCCTCCTGCACACTCCCTACTGGGGATGTGCCCCCAACCAAGGTACATGCCCTTGACCGGAATCGAACCTGGGACCGTTGAGTCAGCAGGCGGACGCTCTATCCACTGAGCCAAACCGGTTAGGGCTAGATTGACATTTCTAATCTCTCTCTCTCCCTTCCTCTCTGAAATCAATAAAAAATTTTAAAAAAATACTAAATGCCATTGACCAATAAATGAATAAAAACTGCCCCCAGGGGAGGTTCCAGCGTACTTCTGGCTCCCTGGGGTGGGCAGGTGCGGTCTGACCCCCCGCCCAACAGACAAAGACCAGCCTTGTGCAGAAGGCGGCGCCACGCACGCTCCCACCACGAGAAAGCAGAGCGGACTCACGTGCCCAGTCGCTCCTTGTGCTTTTTGCCGTCCTTTCCCCAGACCTCAATGTCCAAGATGCCCATCCTGTCAGAGAAGTAGTGAAAGTCAAACTCTTCCCGCCACTGCGGATGTGCACTCTTACACAGTGTCTAGAAAACATGCGGTTACAACGTTTATTGTCTTCGCACTGCCATGCGTCGCCACAGTTCCTACACATTTCAATTCATTGTTCTAAACCAGGGGTGGGCAAACTTTTTGACTCGAGGGCCACAATGGGTTCTTAAACTGGACCGGAGGGCCGGAACAAAAGCATGGATGGAGTGTTTGTGTGAACTAATATAAATTCAAAGTCAACATCATTCCATAAAAGGGTACGGTCTTTTTTTTTTTTAGTTTTATTCATTTCAGACGGGCCGGATCCGGCCCGCGGGCCGTAGTTTGCCCACAGCTGCTCTAAACGGCTAGGGCGGGAGCTCGGGGTGACGTGCCTGTCTGTCCCTTTCCAAGTTAAACTTTTCCCCTTTGGGGAAGGAAAGGGACTTGGAGGTGTTGGGGAACTGGCAAAAACATCACCACTCTTTGAGCCGACCCCCAGATGCAATAGTGGATCCCACCAAGTTAGAAAGAATAGTTACCCCACGAGAAACCATAACTTATATATATATATACTAGAGGCCCGGTACACAGATTCAGGCACCAGTGGGGTACCTCAGCCAGGCCTGCGGGAATCGGGCCAAACCAGCTCTCCAAAATCCCCCCAAGGGGTCCTGGACTGAGAGAGGGTGGTTCTGGGGTGACGCACCCTGGAATCGGGCTCCCTCCTCTCTAGTTCCTAGTGCATCACCAGAGAACTGCAGCTGCCAAGTCACCGAATTGTGGCAGCTTCTGCGCTGAGCGTCTGCCCCCTGGTGGTCACTGCGTGTCATAGCTACCAGTCGGATGGTCGCTTACACTTTTATATATATAGATATATACATTTATATGACATATCTCAATGGATGTTTTACAGCTGTCCAGTGTTACAGGAAATATATTCATTGGTTCATGAAATCATTTTATTGGCACATCCACTCAGCACTGGCTTAAGAACCCTATAAATGAACAGTTTGGGCTGCATTTCACAAGAAACCCATGAGTTCAGTTCATCGCTGCCTATTTTTTTAAATCCCAGTTTGCTGATGCCAGTCCCTAGAGCAGTGGTTCTCAACCTTCTGGCCCTTTAAATACAGTTCCTCATGTTGTGACCCAACCATAACATTATTTTCGTGGCTACTTCCTGTCATGTTGCTCCTGTGATGAATCGTCATGTAAATATCTGATATGCAGGATGGTCTTAGGCGACCCCTGTGAAAGGGTCATTCGAGCACCAAAGGGGTCGCGACCCACAGGTTGAGAACCGCTGTCCTAGAGGGAGAGGGAGAGACTAGCAAACCCCACTGCCACCACATCTGAAAATGAACGAGGGTGGTTTGAAAATTCCTCAGCGTTTCTGTGTTTTCCGAGCGGGACTCCAAACGGCCCGAGTGTTTGAATCCCTGGCAGGGTCTATCTCTTCTGTTTCATTTACATAGAGATTCAATTTGTGGCTTACAAAGTGGGCAGGAAGGCTGGTCCCTGAGTACCAGCCTCAACGAAGGGCACAGCTCCACTATTAAATCTGAGTGCCCGCTAGTACCGCATGGGCAAACAGGGACCAGCCAGCCCTGCCTGTAGCCAGCATCATATCACGTAACATCACTTAAGCTGGTGGTCACATTGGACTGAATATGCCAGGTCACAGAATTTAGCAACCACGAAGGAAAAAAAAAAAAAAGGAACTATTAGACCACAAATTAAATGCAATATCCCCCAAGAGGGGACAGAGCAGATATTGGACTAATTCTCCACTTCACCTTAGCTCCAAAGGGCTAAGTGTGCCCCGTGATGAATAATTTTTCTATAAATCCTTCGCCCGGCCCCGGCAGGCTAAAGGGATCTCAGCCAGAGATGTGGTTACCCTGGATACAGTCTCTGGGAGGTACGGCCTCAGACTACCTGGCGAATAACATCGGCCTATTTCTGCCGGAACTCGCCCTCGATTTTTCACATTATTTTTCATGAACTGATTCGTCAGCGTGAGCTTCGATTCTCTCGTCCTTGTCCTGGTGGAAATGACGCTTCATGTTTGATTTTGCGCTGAAATTTGTTCAGCAGAGACAAACTCGGGGCTCCCACAGCATTTGCCAACGTGTCTGCGTCTGTTATGCCTTCCACGCGGCAGAGGCGGTTCTGCAGATATCCTGTTTTTGAAAACCTCCCCCTGATGTTTTTTTTATGATGTGGCTTTTGGCAAGGGGCTAAACTTTCAAGGACCCCGCTTCCCTCCATCCATAAAACATAGAGCAGACTCCTGTCTGACACTTATGTAAAACTAATTAATTACCATGGTTTGGAGACGACGGTTTGTGAAATAGAAACCACACCAAATTAGTAAGATTAAAAATTAAATGGAATTCGGATCAACAGAATCAGATGACTGGCTTGGAAAGGCAGTTAAAAATGCCAGGATTTTTGTTCATAACAAATCACTTTTAATATATTAGATAGTTTGGTGTGTTTTTTTTAAATCATAGCAAAAAAAAAAAAAAACCCACCACCAAAAAACCCCCCAGCAGCACTCAAAGTCTATTTTTGGTATAAATACTAACCAGAAAGAGAAAGAAAATTGTATATGACTTTGAAAATACTTGTAGTTATCGCAAATACTGTAACCCAAGTATAACATATATTACTCGCTTATTTTTGTTACAGTTTGAAAGCGTTTAGTTATCCTTTTCCCGCATTCTATGAAACACGGTTTTTGCTTATTTTCAAAACACAATAAATCATGCATTCAAAACTATTATTTAATGAGCTTTCTGCAGCTCTAGTTACTGGATGGAACGAAACTCAGCAAATACTCCTACTAATTGACTGCATCCGTACTGTTATTCTGCTTTCTGGAATAATCCGAACGTAGTCAAGACGCAGTGGTTCTCAACCTGTGGGTCGCGACCCCTTTGGCGGTCGAGCGACCCTTTCACAGGGGTCGCCTAAGACCATCCTGCATAGCAGGTATTTACATGACGATTCATCACAGGAGCAACATGACAGTGATGAAGTAGCCACGGAAATAATTTTATGGTTGGGTCACAACATGAGGAACTGCATTTAAAGGGCCAGAAGGTTGAGAACCCCTGGTCAGGAGAGTTAAAAAGAAATGACTTCTATTCTTGTAGACATGGAGTGTGGGGAAACCATTTTTTTTCCAAAAGAAAAAAATACATCTCTTTGAAGATGTTGTTCTCCTTCGGGAACGGCCAACTCACCTTGCTCTTGTACCTCTGATCCCCTAGTTTTAACAGGACGAACATCTCTGCCATGTTTCCCACCGAGACGTTCTTTCCCTCCAGCAACGCGATGCTGACGATCCCGTTCCAGAGCTGGTTCTTCCTCAAGGCCTCCGAGAGCCGGAGGCTGCGGATCAGCGAGGACTAGAGCAGAAAGCGGAGAGGAGAGATGAGCTCGCTGGTAATCCCTGAGTGCGGCGCTGGCCATCACAGGCGTCCCCGCTGTCAATATTGGATGACAGGGAGCACGCCTGCCTGCCCGGAGAAAGGGCTGTTACTCCTCACTGGTTGTGCAAACCTGCAGTCACAGTTACAGGATCTCCTTCTCCCGCCCTGGGCTCGTAGTGAGACAGGGAGAGATGGCACTGGCCTTGGGCACTGGCCTGTCCTCCGACCCAGCTCTTGGACAGGCACCCTTCACCTGGGCCTTTGGCTATTTTAACAATAGGAAGGGAAGAGAGGCATTCTGGGAAACAGAGGTGTCAGAACAAGGCATTGTTTTGCAGGGAAATGAAATATCTATGGGCATTCAGTAATAGTGGTGTGTGTTTTTTTAAATATATGTATTTCAGAGAACAAAAGAGAAGGAGAGAGAAAGAGAAAGATCAATGAAGAGAATCATTGATCAGCTGCCTCCTGCATGCCCCCTACTGGGGATCGAGCCTGCAACCCGGGCATGTGCCCTGACAGGGAACAGAACCATGACCTCCTGGTTCCTAGGTTGTAGCTCAACCACTGAGCCACACCAGCCTAGCAGAAATAGTGGTTTTTGAATTTATCCTTTGCACTTGAATCTGTCCCCACTCCCCTTTGTTCCTTGGGTGAATACTAAAGAACTCATGTCCTTGTGAGATTCCTAACTCCAGACAGAGCCTGGGATTGGCCAGCCATGAGCTTTGCAGATGGGGGGGTGAGGGGAGGGAGAGGAAATAATGTATAGAGGACTTAGCACAGGGCCTGGAACCCAGGACAGTTCAGTGACTATTAGCTTATTTTGTTTCTCTTCTAAATGATGTTACTCACGCCCACTCATACACGCCTTAAACCAAATTTAGAAAAAGGGCAAACATCTCCTACTAGTAAATTATCAAGAGGACAAGCACACTTTAATTTCCATTATGTGAGTTTCCAAACATATACAAAGGTGAAACGGTATATGAAATCTCCACGGATCTATTCACCAGAGTCAACGATTTGCCAGTCTTATTTCATCTATCACTTCACTACTTGCTTTTGGCTGAAATAATGGAGAGCAAATTCCACATTTGTGTTTTTTTGTGTGTTTTTTTAAAAAATATATTTGTATTGCCAAAACCGGTTTGGCTCAGTGGATAGAGCGTCGGCCTGCGGACTGAGGGGTCCCAGGTTCAATTCTGGTCAAGGGCATGTGCCCTTGACCGGACTCAATCCTGGGACCCTTCAGTCCGCAGGCCGATGCTCTATCCACTGAGCCACACCAGCTAGGGCCCACGTTTGCTTATCTATAAGCACGATGCTCACGAAAGCAGCCATAATTCCCTTCATATCCTTAAGTACCCAGGGCCTCTTTACATTTCTCTGACAGTCTCAACCATGTCTTTTTTTTTTGCGGTGAGTTGGTTTGGGTGCGAATCCCAACGCGACCCACACATGCATTTAGTTGGCGGAGTTCATTTATGCTCTCCGCTCAATAAATGAAGTGGCGCAGGCACACACGGCATTCTCTGAAGGAGAAATAAATGGACTGAGGAATGTAAATGGCGCCAAGTATCATAGGAAAGCAATGAATTCCTAACGCTATAGATTCATCCTGTCACCGGCTCCATAGATCTTCCAGGTCGTTTAGACACCGATTTGCTGGGACACCAGTTTGTCACAATTTATCACAACAAATGGTACGTCAGGGCCGTATTAATTACAGACCGGCTTACCTCATCCGGCACACGTCGCTCTGCCACTCCGAATAAAGGATGCAGCGAGGCCTCACCAAGCATTCGGCTGATCGTTTTATAACCTCCTCAAGCACTGAGAGAATCTATTCTCCCAACTTCATATCCATATCGCTGTTCTCATACAATGCACACACATGCGTACACACACGCGCACACACACACACGGCTTTTGGAGATGCTGAGACAGAGAAGGGAGGGCAGACAAGAAAAGAATTAATTTTCAAGAGGAGAAAAATCCCTCTCCGCTGGAGGACATAAACCTTCTTTGGTAACTTCTATCTGCCCTTGGGTTGTGGATCGAATATACTCAGAATGAAAGTTGATAAAATAGTTAAAAGTAAAGCATATTTTTTTAAAAAATCTGTTTTTACTGATTTCATAGGGGAATGGAGAGAGTGACAGAGAGAGAAACATCAATGATGAGAGAGAATCATTGATCGGCTGCCTCCTGCTCGCCCCCTACTGGAGATCGAGCCTGAAACCCGGGCACGTTTCCTTGACTGGAATCGAACCCAGGACCCTTCAGTCCACAGACCGATGATGCTCTACCCACTGAGCCAAACAGGCTAGGGCAGCAATTTTCTCCTTGTTAAGAACCACAAACACCATCACAATCTCTAGACAGACAGACACGTATATAAACATCTGAGTGTGTGTGTTTATACGCCTATAGGTGTCCGTACAGATGTAGCGGCACTGAATACATGTTAGAGCTTATTAAGCAGGCAGGCTGCAGGCTTCTCCCTTTACCAAGGAAACGGGATTGTGATTCATCCACCCCGCTGCCATTTCCTGTTTTGCGTGTGTTTTTCTTCTGAAACTCTGACTTGCCAACCAGCACGCTAATGCATGACCTGTCCCGTGGCCACGCTTCAAAGCCCCGACAGATATATTCCTCCCTAAACACTGAAGCGATTTCAAAACCCTTTTTCTAAAGAAGGGAGGCATGTCCACCAGAGATCAAAGGGCATCCCTACAGTCTGGCAACCGCCGAAGAAAAATGGCCACGCTCCCATGAAATATGCCCTTAAAATAATTCCGGGGCTTGGTATGTCCTCGTTTCAAATGGGTTGTTTATCTTGGACGGGCTTCTATCTAACTTGTCCAGAAAGCAGCCCCACTTAGCTCGATGAGCTCTGTGAAAAGGGGATCCAAAGCCGGTCGTCAGGGGGGCCCGGAGAGAGGTTCCATCTGGCGGGACAGCCTGGGAGGGCGCGGCTTGGCTGGGGCTCTGGGCCCGGCCCGGCCGCGGACACCCGCTGCATTACAGTGGAACATCTGGATTATTGCTTGCTGCGTCCCTGGGAAATATCCACTTTCCATCAAAGCCTTTATCTCTCTCTCGGTCGGACTTTGAACATTTTGGTCTGTAACGCAGTCATCATGTTGGATGTGACGGACTCGCTCTGTGCTGTCCAAGATTTTTTTTTTTCCTTCCCCTCTTACTAAAGGCAGGCTAGGAAAAGAGCCGTACGCACTGCACAGCTCAGAGAGAGGAGCATAAAACCTTGCCCCAGCCGGTGTGGCCCAGTGGATAGAGCGTCGGCCTGCAGACCAAAGGGTCCCGGGTTTGAGTCCGGTCAAGGGCAGGTACCTCGGTTGCAGGCTCCTCCCCAGCCCAGGCCCTGGTGGACGAGGCTTGTACAGGAGGCAACCAATCCATGTGTTTCTCGTACATCGATATTTCTCTGTCTTTCCCTCCCTCTTCCACTCTCCCTAAAAATCAATGGAAAAACATCATCAGGTGAGGAATTTAAAAAAATCACAGCTTTATTCAGCGTATTTCACCCTAAATACTCCTGCCCACTCCAAGGTTATCTATAATAATAAAAGCATAATATGCTACTTAGACCAGCCGGAAGCCAGGGCTGTGAGGGCCGAGCCTCTTGCACGAATTTCATGCATCGGGGCCTCTCGTGTCTAAATTAAAGTTTCATCTGCTCCCAACGCATTCTGGGATACGTGCACGGGCTTTTTAAGAAGTTTCTTAATTAATTGAACATCTCTCTTCCACCCTGGAGAGCTGCGATGAAGCTTAGAGCCGTCCGGCCATCCCGTGTGAGCCGTGGGGCAGAGCTGGGCTCCCGATGCCTTCGTGGTCTTCAAACGCCCTCTCTCCCTCCCCACGATAAATCGACTCCTATGCACTCACTCTGTTAGCTCAAGGGCTCAGGTTTGCACGGTGGGGCCGAGCCTGTGCGTGAAATTTGTCATCTTAATGCCGCCTGGAATGTGAAGGGAGAAAAGGAAATGACCCATCAAAGCAAAGGCCCGCCCCACCTGCGTGGAGACAAACACCCTGAGATACAGCAAAGTTTCTGGGTCCTGACCCTAATTTCTCAGCAGACATAACGGGTAAAATATGGGGCATCGGGGTTTTGTTATGTTTCTCCTTCCTCCCCAAGGATCGGAACCTTTTACTATTTCTATGTTGATTCATTCATAGGTTCTCTCTCTCCCTCAACCCCCCTCCCCCCGTGGCCCCCTGCAAACCCACAGCATTCTTCCAGATAGTGACTCCCCTCTGAAACACACCCGTTATTACTGGTGAAAACAAGGTGTGATATTTAACTTTGACATATACTGAATTTCATTAAGAAACCAGCTTGGCCCTAGCTGGTGTGGCTCAGTGGATAGAGCGCCGGCCTGTGGACTGAAGGGTCCCGGGTTCGATTCACGTCAAGGGCACATGCCCGGGTTGCAGGCTCGATCCTCAGCAGGGGGCGTGCAGGAGGCAGTCCATCTATGATTCTCTCTCATCATTGACGTTTCTCTCTCTCCCTCTCACTTCCTCTTTGAAATCAATAAAAATATGTATATTTTTTAAAAAAACGAATAAATGGCTCTTACCTGGAATGGATTGCTAGCAAAAGGACCGTGCCAAACTTGCCCCAGATTAAAACGATGTACCGAAGTGGATTACAGCTTGACCAATATCACAGTAATCGTTTGGGTGTAATAAAATACCAAAAATGTTTTTTTTTTTAAAGATAAAAATTAAAGAGGGGCAGTGAGAAAAGAGTTTCACGAGATTTTGCTGGTAGGTGCCAAA